CCGCCACCACCACCGCCACCGCCACCGCGCAGGAGCTCAACAACAGCCGGCCGGCCCGCCAGGTGCGCCGGCTCGAGTTCAACCAGGCCATGGACGACTTCAAGACCATGTTCCCCAACATGGACTACGACATCATCGAGTGTGTGCTGCGCGCCAACAGCGGCGCCGTGGATGCCACCATCGACCAGCTGCTGCAGATGAACCTAGATGGAGGTGGAGGCAGCGTCTACGAGGACAGCTCCGACTCTGAGGACAGCATCCCGCCGGAGGTAGGTGGTTCACCATGCACTCCAGCAACTGTGTACACCTCTTAGAGAGGGTTAATCCCCTTCCTGGGTTCTAACTGGAACCTTTATTTCTCCTAAGGAATCCTTACCCAAGCCCATCAGGCATCCATTCAGCGATCCCCGAGCACCTTCTCAGTGGTGCACCAGGCTCAGTGCTAGCTCCTATCAAAATCTCTGAGCTTGTTAAAAATGCACATGCCTGGGCCTTGCCCCATACTACTGAATTCCAGTCACCAGGTTTGGGACCCTGTAATCTGTTTTTCAAGGATTTTTCTTGAACCTCTGCACTGGGTATCCACGTAAGTTAAGTCAGACAAAGTTTCTGCCCTCATGGCGCTCACAGTCCAGTGGGGAACCGAGGCAAGAGTCAGGCAGTGACAGCTCTGCGTGGAAAGTGCAGTGAGGGGAGAATTAGACGCAGTGGAGAAGCTTCCCAGAGGGAGATGGCTCAGCTGAGACCCCAAGGAGAGTGACAAGTGCCAGAGAGGGTGTGCAGGAAAGGGACGGCTCACAGGAAGGCACAGAGGTGACACAGAATGTGTGTGACTCGGTAGGAAACTGGCAGCAGGTCCATTTGTCAGGATCCTAGATTAGGAGGAGACAGATATTTGGGCCTTACACTGTTGGCCCCTTGTTCTGCTGGCCCTGCTGATGAGAGAATGAGTGGGGCCCTAGGATATCCCTAGTGTGCTGCTGAAAGGGGTGAGGTATCAGCTCTGCCCATTCAGTCCTTCTGACCACACAGAGGTGCAAGCCAGCAATACCCAAGCAGTCCTGCTCCCCGCTCTCCAGGGAGGTGGCTAGGGGCGAGGGGGCTACCCACTGCCTGTCGGGGATGACCATCCCTCCTCTGTCCCCACAGTACCTGCAGTGCTTGGTGCAGAAGAGACGAGGCACACGGAGTCTCTGTTAGGGTCACTGCCTGTCGGGGTGCGTGGACATGCCGCCATAGGCAAGATGGAAGGACCCAGCAGATGGGATTTAACTGTGCTCTTTATTAAGTCCCAGCCTGTGCTGGGTACTATCCTAAATGCTTTTGATTTATTATCTGATTTCCACAAACTTAGGTGGCATGATTATCATTACCCTCATTTCTAGTAAGAAAACTGAGACTCCAAGTCCTCCACACAGCCCTGCAGTTGGCCACTCTCCATCAGTCAGATCCACTTTGGAAAAGAGGGGTTGGGGTGAGTGCTGTGTGTGTGTTTGCAGAAAGGTTACAGGTCTGTGCAGCCTTGGCCCTTTCAACAGTTGCAATTTGTTCAGACAGTCTGGCAGGTAGAGTAATGTTTCCTCCTTTAACTGTGGCACCCACAGTCTTGTGGTCCTCCAGGAGGCTTCACTATTCCCTGGGAAGGGCTGCCACGTGTGTGCTTCTGTTTTGCTAAGAATCTTGCTTTCCAGATTGCGCCCCTTCTCAGCAGCCCCCTGCTTTTGGCTGGCTCCCCAGCCCCCTACCTTTGGAGCTCTGCCTGTGCCCATCGGCTGGCAATTCCTGAGCCAGCAGAAACTGCTTCGGAAAATTTATGAGCAGCAGCTGGAATGCCAATAAGTGCTGACTGGAAAAAGGCCCCTCTCTGGGGCTGATGGATGGTGGGCTGGCCTGAGGGATATCCTCGATGCGGAGAAATAGCTCCTGTCAGAGAAATGGCCCAGACCCTGCCCCCCAGAGCACCTGGCAGGCATCCATCACCCACACTGAGTTAAGCCAGGAGGCTGCAGGGCTGAAAACTTCAGCACCTTTAGAGCCAGGAGAACAACCGCTCTGTGGCTGCTGAGGGTAGGGAGGCGGGGCAGGAGGCGGTGGCCAGAGACGGCTGGGGTTACTCTCCCTGGAGACGTGGGATCAGCCTTTCTTTCCGGAGCGTGTCTGGCCCACCGCCTGCTGCCTTGACATTTCCCATTCTGGTCCAGGAGCCTCCACTGAACGTCTGGTTCCTGCAGCCCCAGGAGGCTGCACAGACTAGTGGGAGGGGCCTCCTGATGTGGCCTGGAGGGTCTGCCTTAGAGAAAACCCTTCTGCGGGTTTCCTCTGCAAACCAATCCTGTTGAACTCTTCTCTCCTCCTCACCCATCTCCCTCAGACCAGCCTCAGTGGGAACAGGCTAGGCTGGCCACCGAGGGAAGAGAGAGCTCGGTCTCCAGGAGCTGCCTCCATGCCACAGCCTGGAATGTGTCTCTCAGAGCAGTAGGGGCTGGGAAGTGGGGAGTGTGGGCCGGGGGTACACAGCAGAAAATTCTTGTGAGCCCCTCCTGTGCTGGTACAGTGTCAGGCACCAGGGACACATCACTGGATAGGAGCGGACCTTCCAACAGTCTCTGTCTGCTTTTCCTCTTGTGGAAATTTGGAGTGATGGCTACATTTTTCTTTTCTTGCAAAAGCATCTGTTTAAATACTTTCCGCCTCAGAGGAAGGAATGTTAGTGCATTCCAGGGCGGGAGGCCACCTGGGGTTGGGCTGGGGTGTGTGTGTGTGTGTGTGTGTGTACACGCTCCTGTGTGCTCACCCACCCTCTTGCTAGGGTGTCCCTGTAAGTCTCTGTGTGCCTGGGCAAAGCTGGGCTCAAGGCAGAGGTGTGCCTGCATGGCCCATACCAGCCCAGGCTTATGTAGTAGTAGTTCTAGCAATGACTTCTGCTAACTCACTTGGGATTCAAACTTGGGGCCTGGTGACTATAGTGCTGATTGACAGCCTCTGAGCCCTTTGCTTTCTGAGAACCCTCTGAGGGCCTGGCCATGTTCTCTGGCCTTGGAGGAGATGGGAACAGAGCTGTGGAGAGGAGGGGAGAGGTGCAGGAGGCTGCTTGGGGCATCTCCTGGTTGGTGGCTGCCTCCTGCTCCAGGCTGCTCTGTGGACCTCTGGGAAGGGTCCACATCAGCCCAGGTAGCAGGAACACCTGCCTTTGCCCAGCACGGCCTCTCCCTGCCCCTCTTCCTGGCTCCTAGATGGAAGAGAGGAGTAGGGAGGGAGAGCAGGCATCCTGAGCGCCTTCCCTGCCACTGTCTGTCCTGAAAATCCCACCTGGGTGTGCAGGCAGTGCACCTGAAAGAGGGACCCTCACTGGGGAGTCAGGAGACCAAGGTCCAAGCTGAAGACTCGGTTTTAAAAACAGAACATGGCTTTTGCCATTTCTCTCAGTCCTCATCTGTAAAATAGGTATACTGATCCATATCCTGAGATGACAGGTTAGTTGAGGCTAAGGTGAGATGATAACATGTGGAAGTACTTTGAGAGAGGATTTCAATGTCATTTTTTAAAAAAACAATTGAAGTTATTTATTAAAAATAACACACAACCTGAAGAGTGTGCGAATTACAAGTGTGCTGCTTACTGTGTTCACAGAGTACACACACCTGGAATCCCCCCTACGCTTCTTCCCATCCTTACCCACCCCCACAAAGGTCCCCACTGCTCTCACTTCTGTTGTGTGTGTTGTTTTGCCCGTTTTTGAACCTTATTTAGATGGATAGTGCTGCTATGAACATTCTTTGGGGACGTGTATTTTGATGTCTGCTAAGTGTGTTGGAAGTGAGGGTCAGAGGTCGCCATGTGTTCCGCTTTAGCCAGTACAGCCAGACGTTTTACAGAGCATCTGTGTCAGTTCATCTTCCCACCAGCAAGTGCACAAGCATTCTCTTGCTGCACATCTTTGCCCATAAACTAAGGTAATCTCACTGCCATCAAGTCAATTCACAGCGACCTCCGTTGGGGTTTCGAGGCTGTCAATCTTTGCGGAAGTAGATGGCCCATCTTCCCTCCACAGAGTGGCTGGTGGGTCTGAGCCGATGACCTTCTGGTGAGCAGCCAAATGCCTTTTCCACTATGCCACCATTCTTGCTATTATCTGCATGTTCTTTAAATTCCAGGAAATATTGTTAATGTTTCTCCTTTGTTGTCTCTCACATAGGTCTTAGAAAGGACTTTAGAACCTGATAGCTCTGATGAAGAGCCCCCGCCGGTGTACTCCCCCCCAGCCTACCATATGCACGTGTTCGACAGGCCTTACCCTCTGGCGCCCCCTACTCCACCTCCAAGGTGAGAATTGATCGTTTCAGAGCACAGGGTGGTGGGGAAGGGGATCAGAGGCTGGGGTGAGTACAAAAACATTTGGGAACTTGGCTGGACCCCACTATGATTCCACCAAAACCAGGCCTCTACTGAAGCAAGAGGCGTTTTAGCTAGACCCCCAAAGAGAACTTTCAGAATTAAGAATTACAAGAGAAACATTTTCTGAATTCCTACTGTGTGCTAGGTGCTATGCTGAACATGACAAAGTCTTAGCCTCTGCTTTTTGGGAACTTGTGTCAAGTGAGATGTCAGAGGGGGAATGACAAAAGCATGGAAGACATTTTCCCACTCTAGCTCATGGCAGACATTACTAATTGATCACTGTGCTCTTTCCTGCTGAGTCAAGATGGGACTGCAGAATCCTTGTCAACACAGCGCTCCCAGACATTCATCAGCAATTAATGGAATGGAAGTCTATTTGTCATACTTGGCCTAGGGATGTTGTGGAGGATTTTTAAGCACTGGGAAAAAGCTGCTTTTTCTAGGATGCTTTGATAACTGGAGACAGGAAAGAAGATTAGTAGGTCTCTGGAGATTTCTTCCAGATCAGACCCTGTAATTTGCAAGATTAAAATGCAGCTAGACGCCAGCAGGCTCCCATGGGTCTCTGAGGTGGCTTGTTGTTCTGGGCTCCATGTGTGTGGTGGAGCCCAGGAGTCGCTTCTTTATCCTAGAGCCACTGTTCCTTAGAATAACAGGCCTAGAGTGGTGAAGGTTGAGGGGAGCTGATGGGACAGGGGACTTGCCATAGTGCGTCTTCCTTTGTGGGCATGTCGGGAGCCCCAGAGCAGTGGTTGCAGAGAACCGTGTCATCACACAGGCATAGATAACAATAACAGCTGCCTTTTACTAAAGCTCTTCCAGGACCGGAAATTGACAAGGTTCCTTCTCTGTACCATCACATTTGAATTGACTGACAACCTGGGAGGCAGCTGCTGTTGTCATTGTCCCCATTTTACAGATGAGGAAACAGCTCCAGAGATACTTCATAGCTTCCGCCAGGGCTACATAGTTGAGATTTGAACCCAGGTCAGACTGGCCCCAAAGCTAATGCTCTTTGCTGCTGAGTCTTGTCTTCTCCCTAATGAGAAAAATCTCTGATTGCAGCTTAGGGAACTGAGAGAGACCTAGAAAGTTCCAGAGGATGGGGGGGGCAGTGTTTTGAGCCAGGTTTTGAATAGTGAGGGTCCTTCCTTTAACATAAGCAGTCCCAGGAGATGGCAGGCTATGCTGGGGTGGGAGGGTAAGTGGGTGGGTCTAGGTGAGACTTTGGCAGGGCTTGCAGCCTGGGACCAAATGGTATTCCTTGGATCTTAATATTCTAAGATCCTTTGGCAAAGACTTCAGTTCCTGTTAGGCAGAGTGATTCTGCCTGTTTTTCAAGGGCAAACTGAGGCCATAAGAGAATCCTCGGGTAACGTCCTGGCCATGTCTTCCTCCCCTGCTCTGGTTGGGTGCTCAGCCCACTGTGGGTGGGATGAGGCTGAGGGCCAGGGGCAGTGCAGCCCCAGTGGTAGGGGGCGGATAGACCTTAGCAGTAGACTAAGGTTCAAGAGACCTTATTCAGACCCTGTGGACTTCAGCCAGTTACTGCCCTTGCTTGAGCCTCGGGGGCCTGCCCAGACTGGGGAGAGGAGCAAGAATTGTGAAGTCAGACAGAATGGGCTGCTCTCTCCACCCACTTCCTTAGCTGCCTAACTTCTGATTCTCCAGGTGCCTCTTCTGGTGGTCTTTGGCTCATTCCTTAACCTCTCTAAGCTTTGTCTGTCTCGTCTGTGAAAAGGGAGTAACAGCACTGTTAGCAATACTGCATGAGATGTGTGTGGAGCACTCAGCACAGGGCCAGGTATGGACCAACCTGCAGTCAGTGCTTACTTCTTCATGCTCCCTGGCTGGACTGGCTGGTCTCTGAGTTGAGCTGTAACAATGAACACTGAGACAAAGGTCGAGGCTTTCCCCAGAGGCCAGTGTCTAGAAGAGGCATGACTAGCCCTTGTGCACATGTGCCTCTGCCCAAAGGTGGCCCAGCTCAGCCCAGATCTACCCCTAGGCCATCTCCCCCAGGCCTCATTGAGTTCCTCCATCTACAGCATTTATTTCCAGCATTGGTTGAATCACTTGCAGTATGGTGTTGCTGACTGTGAATAGGTATTTGATGCAAAGATGCATCCAGCACTGCCTTGTTCTCGGAGGAGATCAGAGTCTGGATGGGAAGGCCTGCACACTGGGGAGGGGGGAGGTTGGAGAAAGGCTACCTACTGATGTCCCAGCTGCAACCTGAAGGACACACACAGGTTAGTTAGGTGAAGCAGAGGACAGGCAGGCATTCCAGGAAAAGGAAACAACTTGTGCAAAGGCCTGGAGGCAGGAAAGGAGGAGCCACTGGGGGACTCCAGCAGGTACCAAATGGGGAATGGGAGGGAGGCTGGAGAGGCAGGCTGATCATGGCAGAGGGTTGGGGGAGTGTGGGGTGGGAAACGGACTTGAGGGTTCTCCACACAGCTTCAGCCTTATCCTTGGGGTGGGGGGGCACTCTAGCGATTTAAACTGGAGAATGATGAGGTGATCAGGTTAGAGTTTGAGGAAACTCCTTTTGGCTGCTGGGTGTGATCAGATTTGAATGAGATGGTGTGGGATGGGAGGCAGTGGTAGGAGTGGCCTGGCCTCCTGCCACCCCCAGTCATTGGGGTGCTTGTGAGACTGCAGAAAGGGCAGACTTGGGGAATTTGGGCACTGCCCTTTTGAGGCACTGGAAGTGATCCCAGGGGAGTGTGCCTGGAGTGCCCGGAGCTGGGCCAGACAGTCTGTGTGTGCCCCAGGTCAGGACCTGGGCTCCTGTGTCTACTCTTCACCAAAAGTCCTGCCTGGAAGGTCTGTCTCTGAAACCCTTCTCAGGTCTCAAGTACTGTGGGTAAACTTGGGTAGGTGTAGGGAGGTAAAATAGGGGTCCAAGTTCTAGTTTCAGGGTCCAGGAGCAGAGACTTAGGGCCAGGAGATCTTCCCTGGCCGTATCCCTCCTTCCCATCCCCCCAGCCTGTCTCTCCCTCCCTTGCTCTGAATGAAACCCAGAGGGACCCTCCATGCAGGCCGCCTGCTGTTTTTCCATTGAAATTACACCCTTGGAAGTTTTTTATTTGCCTTTCAGCTCATTTCTGACATTCCTTTCTGACCACAATGGAGCTAGTTGCTGGGGCTGCCTGTGCTCAGGGCCCCCAGCTCGCTCCCTTGTGCAGCTGCAAACTGACCTCATCCCTGTCGCTGCCAAAGGGCTGAGAGGGGCGGGCCTGTCCTTCCTTCAGCACCACAACCCAGCCCCTAGGGGCCTTAGGCTGAGGACCCAGGAAACCTCAGGTCTCTCAGTAGACACAGTGGCTCACTCACTTCCATTGAGTAGGACTCATAGAGACCCCTCTTGGGTTTCCAAAGCTGTAAATCTTTATGGGAGCAAACTGCCTCATCTTTCTCTTGCAGAGTGGCTGGTAGGTTTGAGTTGCTGACCTGGTGAGCAGCCAAATGCCTTAACCACTACACCAGTAGAGCTCCTGAGACAGACAAAGTGGCTAGAGAGGTCCAAATGCAACTCTGGAGTCTCTCTCCGCAGCCTTCTCAGTGTGGGTGAATTGGGGATGGGCACCTATGTCCCGGCTGGAGACACTGAAGTCCAAGGAAGAGTGGGAACTCTGGAGAGGATTTCTCTCTGCTGTAGCCAGAGGTGGGAGCTAAGGGTACTCAGTGGAGCTGCGAGTCCTGGAGAGAACATGCTCTCCCCACCTCTCCAGCCCTGGGGAATATGGGCCCTCAACAATGAGAAAAGCAGCATGGTGATGCAGAAGGACATCTGGGTGGGAGACCGGGTTGGGATGGGAGCTCGGGCGTGCCCCTGTGTGCAGGGCGAGGGCGGATGAGGCGTGCTGCGGTGCTGCGGCCAGGGTTCCCCTGGCTCCAGTCCGTACAGAGCTGATCTCCCACCGAGCACTTAGCAGCTTGTTATCCCGTCTGCTGCCGCCCCCGCCCCTCCCCCCGCCCAGCTACCCGCCTAAAATAGAAAAGGAAAGGAAATTATTTCCACAGTCAGTGGCAGCCCGGAAAAGCTCCCCTCCAGTGAGGGGGCGGCCGGGATCCCTGGAGCTGGAGACCAAATCAAAGCCAGGCCGAGAACGAGCGGCCCCGACTGCCTCGGGCCTGGGCTGCCTCTGTGTGTCATTTTCCTGATTCAGCAGAACACGTGTTCTGTGGTTGCCACGCTGCAGGCTGCTGAGGCACTGTGGGGAGCCCCTGCCTGACCAGGCTGCCCTGAGGGGCAGGGCGGGAACTAGGGGTCAGGGAGGGTTTGTGCCACTCACCCCTGTTCCTCTCCTCCCCCTGCTGCGCTGTTGACCTCTGCAGAGGCAGGGACCTCCTGCAATTCACCTTGCCAGTGAAGAGCAGCACTGGAGCGCCACTTGTCTCTGAAAATCTGGGACCATCGTCCCTTCTGCTGTCATGTCTGCATGTGCCTTTTCAGAATCCTGTTCAAGACAGTCTCATGAGGGGCTCTGGGATATCTGGGGAGGGAGGTGACAGTTTCTAGTTGAGGGAACCACGGTCTGGCCCAAGCCCATCCTTTGGTGTGGCTAAACCAGAACTGGAACCCAGAGCTGCCCTACTCTCCCTCCAGTCTGCACTTTCTTGGTGCCGGTTATCTCTAGGGGATCTAAGTGTCCTCACCTCCCACACCCCCCTTCTCCAGCAAGCTGGCAGGCTGGCTGTTGGTGGTTCACACATCCATTCATTTGGCCCACACCTGTCACTCAGCAGCCCTGAGCTCAGTGCTAGGTGCTAGGAAGATGAACATAGGATATGCTGCTCCCTGCTGTCATTAGAGGATGTTCATAAACATCTAAGGTTAAATCCACAACCTTCACGGTAGACTGCGAACAGAGTTCTCTAGGCCTAGAGACCGGAGCTGAGTGATTGAAGAGCAGTTCATGGCACAGCGGGTGTCCAAGCTGGAATGGAAGAGCTGAGCCCGGGGAGTTCTCTGGAAGCTTGATTCCAGAGTCTCCCGCAGTGAGATAGAGCACTGGGCCTTTGCCCTGGAGGCAGCTGGGGCCAGGGGAAGTTTCTGAGCAGCAGTGCGAATGAAGCAGGATCCCATCTGCCTGGGGACCTGGCATGATGGGCGGGAGACCTATGTTTTGGCCTGACTGCTCCCTCCTCACTGTCGCCTCCCACCCCCCAGGATCGATGTGCTAGGTTCCAGCCCCCCTTCAAGTCAGAGGCGCTATAGGAACTGGAACCCACCACTGCTGGGCAACCTCCCAGATGACTTTCTCCGTATCCTGCCCCAGCAATTGGACAGCATACAGGTAACAGCGACTGTTCCCCACCTTTTATGTCCACTTGCCAGCCTAGCATCTCTGTTTTGCCATCTGAGGCCAACATAGCTTGTGCCAACCAGTTGCCCTTCCTGATTTTGAAGCCCAGGTTGAGCTATTTTTATCACCCTGGCTTTGTAGGGAAAGAACTGTTGTTGTTATGGGCCGTCAAGTCGAATCCGACTCATAGTGACCCCTCCTTGAGTTTCTGAGGCAGTATCACTACAGAAGTAGATTGCCCAACCTTCCTCCCAAGGAGTGGCTGGTGGGTTTGAACCGCCAGCCTTCTGGTTAGCAGTCAGATGCCTTAGGCACTACGGCACCAGAGCTTAGTGAACCAAAAATCTCACTTCCTGGCTGGGCCTGGCTTCCTGTTTCCCCCAGTGAAGGTGACAGTCTTAAGGAGGTTCTCTGATTACAGCCATCACCCCAGGCTGGAAGGGGTAGGGGCATGAAGTAGCGAGTGACAGAGGGATACCTCCTCTCTCCTGGGAAAGTGTGGGTAGCTTTTCCCCAGATGTTGGCATGTCTTAATGTGCTCAGGCAGAAGGAAGGGGTTTTACTATGAGGCAGCCAGTGCAGGGAGTCCACGTGTAGGCTACTGAGCTGTCTGCAAATCACTTTTCAGGACTAGTCAGCATGTGGATGAAGGGATGGAGTGGTTCAAGGTGGGGAGGAAAAATCATATGTAAGCCCTGGCTGCTCCCCTCCCCCCAAAGGACTCTGGCCCTTAAGTTGGATTTTGGTTGATGACTAGATCATAGTAGGAGATGCAGGCCCCTGGGCAGGGATAACTGGGACGTGTACACCCAGGGGTGCATGGATGTGTTTGCAACATGTGTCCACTCTTGCTTTCCTTCTCAGGGTAACTCAGGGGGATCCAAACCTGTGAGTGGAGAGGGAGGCCCTCCCCCGGCAGGGGCTGGGGTGGGCACCCGAGACCAGGAGAGCCGCTGGAAGCAGTACCTGGAGGATGAGAGGATCGCGCTGTTCCTACAGAATGAAGAGTTCATGAAGGAGCTGCAGCGCAACCGCGACTTCCTCCTGGCCCTGGAGAGAGGTGGGGCACCAGCTGGGGGCGCTGCAGCTGCTTCTTCAGGGCTGCGCAAGGGCATGGATTTTGGCTTTAGTCTGAGGGCTCAGGAGAGGCCAAGGGCGCCAGCCACACACTTCCTGATAAAACATGCCCCCCACCAAGTTATCCTTGTAGGAGTCCCAGAATTCTCCCAAGGGGGACTTGAATCACTAGTCACCCCCTTTTTCTCCCCAGGGATTCAGGGGAAGAGGGCTGTGCCCCTTTATGCTCTCTTCTTCCCCTCTGCATGTCTGCTCTGTGCCAGGCCCAGCACTAGGTGACCACTGGGGATAAAGAGCACTGCTCTTCTTTGCCAAGGGCCAGCCACCAGGGCAGAGATGATGTAGCTGGAGCTCTGGGGACAGAATGACTGGGGTCACAGGTGCCAGAGCGGGTTGGCTCCCTGAGCAGAGCAGAGGTTCTTGAGTTTTTTAGGGAGTAGGTTGTCCTTGGGCAAGAGGCCCTACTCCCCAGCCTGGCTCCTCTGCTCTTCTTCAGGGTGGGAGTGTGCTTGGGGTGGGGTACAGGGAGAGGGCTCTGGGAGGTCGGTCTGGAGTACATGAGGGTCAGTGTGAAAGCGTGTGTGTGTGTGACTGGGGAGGAACGAGGGTGTGCAGGGAAAACTCTGGACAAAAGGGAGGAGGCCCAGTGCTGGTCCCAGCTCTGCAGGTTTTCCTTTTATGTGAGGGGGTTGGACTGTCTGATCTCTCAGGGTAGGGTCCTTCTAATTCTGACATTCTAATGTTCCCGATGTTAGGGCAATGGTTTCTGTGTTCTCTCTGATTCTTTCAGAGCCCGGGGAAGGTGTGTGCATGGATGTTTTGGGGGGTGTGCTTGTATGTGATTCCTGCATCTCAGCCGAGTGTGCCCCTGGGAGCGAGGAACTAACTTCTCTGACTGAAACATGGTCTTTTTCCAGATCGATTGAAATACGAGTCCCAGAAATCCAAATCCAGCAGCGCGGTAGTCGGAAACGACTTTGGCTTTCCTTCTCCTGCCCCAGGTAACCTTGGCTTCTTGGGAGAGCCGTCCTGACGGGTCTAGGGACTCAAGCCCCACCTTCCCTTTGCAGAACTGGAGCTTGAGGGTAGAGTGAAGAAAAGGAAGAACAGAAGCCTTTTCTACCCTAAAATACACAGAGTGTGGGGTCTGGAGGGCAGGGTTCTGCCCCACCTCCATGCCACTATGGAGTGAGACGGCCCCTCCTCTTAGTAGCCCTGAGTTTAAGCCTCCCCAACGTTGCCCACAGATGCCATCGACTAGTACAGGTTGACGAAACTCCTCAGAGGTACCTGTGGCCCTGTTCCAAATAATGTCCCATGGAGGAGCAGGGGCACAGAGGACAGGGAGATTTAAAGGCTTGGTCTGCACCCTAAGGGAGCTTCTGGTCTTTTAGGGACTGCAGGAGACACATGTCCAAGAACCAGGTAGAGCAAACCAGCAAAGTTGAGAAGAGCTGGATGACCGCTAATGCATGAAGGGAAGAGGGGCAGGGTTAATCTGGAAAGGGGATCGTTCACTCACTTACTCATTCATTTATTCATTAGCTGGAAATATCTGCTATGTGCTCTGTCCTAGATATTGAAGGGGGAGAATTTTGAGTTTGGGGTACCTGGTGGTGAGAGGCAGGAGCCCTAGCCAACTGAGGGAGCTTTGGGAGTAGCAGTGGTGTGTGCTGCTGTTGGGAAGCGTGGACTAGAGAGGGGGCCTGGAGCTGGGGACGAGGAGCAGGGAGGCCCGGCTCCACACTCGACACCCGGACTCTGTGCCTGTGTGTGTGTGCTTGTTTCCCCACTCCCCAGCTGCCCACCTCGGGGAAAAGCTTAGCAGCTTTGGTTTGGAAGGGACTTTGCAATATGAGGTGGGATGGGGGTGGGGTGGGGTGGGGTGGAGGAGCGGAGCTCAGCTGATCCCAGCTCAGAGTAAATCCCTAGGAACTGATTTGTAAGCAACAGGCGGAGCTTAGCCCTTCCCCCCAGACAGGAATCGAAGGGTTTTAAGAGAGTCTCCTGTCCTTGATCCCAAATTAACTAGAGACGCCAGCACTGTTGAGGTGGATCAGAATGACTCAAAGGGGACTTAGCAGGCAAGGTGACCCTGGATGAGCCGAATTGCGGGAGGGAGACCAGGACCTTCAGAAGGGCAGCGAGAGATCCACGCAGGCGCTGAGCGAGCAGGGAGGCTCTGGGGCAGAGGACACGGAGTTCTGACTTTGGGACTAGCCCCAGTCTCCTTCCTACTTACTCATCGTCTGATGGGTCAGGAACTGTGTCTGGGAGGGAGAGGCTGACTCTGGAAGGAAAGAGACGGGAGTCTCTGCCAGTGAATACTCTGTGCCAGGCACTTCTGCCTCATTCAACTCACAGCCGTGGAAGTGGAAGACGAGGGCCGGCAAGCGCTGGGGGCAGGGCAGCCCTGGTGTGTAGTGTGTGGTGATTTTCCTGAGGAAGTGCTCCCCCACCCATGACTGATCTCCAGCTACTGTTGTGACTTCACTGGAGTGGAGGTGGACAGTTAAGTGGACATTCGAGAGCCAGGGCAAGCTCACAGCAGACACACAGCAGACCCCGAGACTGCCCTGTTTTCACAGATAAGAAAAGCCAGGCTCTCAAGGGGAAGGAAGTGCCCTAGGACATCCCCAACTCCACCCCAATTCCCTCCTTGCTCTAAGCACCTTCCTGGTCAGCGAAACCTGCTCTTCCTTCCTCAAAAGGAAGGAAAAGTCTGCTTTAGCCACTTAAGGGACAGCCCCGACACACACACACACACACACCCCCGGCCCCCGCCTTGGCACGTTCCCTCTCCAGTCCGCCCTCAGAGACTCAAGCCTCCCATCTCAGCAGATGTTTCTCCTTCCAGGAATCAGTGAAGCCAACCCCGCTGTGTCTGAAGATGCCTTATTCAGGGACAAGTTGAAACACATGGGAAAATGTGAGTCCAGCCTCATGTCCACCTCCCCAGCTCTTCTAAGACTAGGCCTGTGGCCTCATGGGAGGGAGCCACCTAGAATTTTAAATGCAACTGACTCTTGGTGATCTGAGGTGACATTTTAATCACAGGCTGACCCCTTTGGCCTTCCTTCCTTCCTTCCCTCTACAGCTGAGTCTGGATACAAATTAAGTTTAAATCCGTGTGAGCCAGCTGTCTGCAGAAAAATAACATGCTGCTCACCCCCACCCCACTTCTAGTGCTCACCTCTCTGTGGGTTGAGGAAGGCTGGCCAGGTTGGACTCCACTCTTGCTAAGCTCACTTTCTGCCAAGGCAGGAGACCAGTGGTGTTGGTGACCCCACCCCATAAAGTCCTTCCAGCTTTGGACACCCTCACCTTAGTCTCCAACCCCCTGCCCCCCCCCCACCACCACAACAGACAGACACAGAACCATATGTGGCAGTCCTTCCAGGCTTCATTTCAAGGAAGATCTCCTGATTAGTCTCAGCCAGTTCTGAGGGGGTGGGGAGGCAGCAGCAGTGGGAAAGAAAGCCAGGATGCGTCTGTCTGTCGTCTGTCGTCTGTGAGAAGGAATACCCGGATCTTGAGCTGCCAGTAGTCCCGGGGACTGGCTCGCAGTGGTCTGTGCTGCCTCTGCAGGTGGAGACAGAGTGGAAGCCTCTAGCCTGGCATTCTCTGTGCCTGTCACCCTTCCAGCCAGGCCCCGTTACAGTGACCAGATCCTGCCCCATCCTTCCCCACACCTGGGGTGCCCCCACCTACTGTTCTGGCTCTTGAAAAAACAGCTCACAGGTGTCTCTGCCTGCAGCCACCCGGAGGAAGCTTTTTGAACTTGCGCGGGCTTTCTCAGAGAAGACCAAGATGAGGAAGTCCAAGAGGAAACACTTGTTGAAGCATCAGTCGTATCCTTCCCACCTGGGGCTGGGATGGGGGGGAAAGTAGACGCTAAGGGTGAGACCCCTACAGTGCGCCTTCCATAGGCTCTGACTGAAGTCTTATAACTTTCTCTCTGTCCCCGCCTCCACCAGTGGTCTGGGGTAATTTGTGTCTTTGGGAGAAAAATGATTTCTTTTCTGGATATCAGCACACCCTCCCCCTCACTTCTCTAGTTGAACTAAATGATCCCCACATCTTCCTGCCTCCCCCTTTCAGGCATGTAAGACCTACTTTCTCATTTTCAGTTCTTCCAGTAGAAATAAATTTTTCCACATTTTCAGCCAAACTTCCATCCATGCTTTTCAGACAGGGTCTACGATATTACAAGCTGAACAATCAAAGGATGGAAGGAAGAAAGTGGCTTCTCCATCCCCAGAGATAGGATGGGAGTGAAAGCCATTGGGCTACTCAGCTGACCTGAAGGATCAGAGGGCTTGGGGTGGCGAGTGGAAGGGCTGCTGTGGTGGAAGTCTCCTGAGTTTGGAGCAGGGAGAGGGGGTGGTGGTGACTAGCACTAGGAAGTCTGTGGCTGTGCCCACCCATCCCAGCAGTTTTCCTGAATGGCCTGCCAGGCTGGGGGCTGCGGCATCCACAGCCAATCTTCTGGATGATGTGGAGGGTCATGCTTGTGGTGAGGCTGGGACAGGGGGAGGGAGGGATTTGAACTCCTACCAGCCTTTGGTTAGAGAGGAGGTCCTGGGTGGTGCATGGTGGATCTACCAGTGGGACAGGGAGCACCCAACCTGGGGACACATCAAGGATTGGTGAGCAGGTGATCCAGAGAAGTGGAGCCTCCCTGCCTGACCCATACTGCCTCCCCTCCTCCCTCCAACCCTTGATGGGGGGCCCCAGTGCACCTCCACATAGATGTCTACCTGTAGACAAAGTGCCAGGTACTGTTTCTGGATAATACTCTTTGAGTCCTAAGGGAGCACATAGACCTAGCCACATTCTTCCCCAGACCTGGGCCTCAATTTGAGAGCCAAACACTCTGCAAATTTCCACTGTGGAGCCAGACTTTTTAACTTTCATCTAGTCCCTCCTCAAAGGTCAGAGGACTCCTTCTTAGACCCTACCAGGCCCACAGCTGAACCCTGATCCTCACCCCACAGAGCACAGGGCCCTTTGGTGGCCAGAGGACACCCTGACACAAGGGCTAGAAGGGCCTTGGAGGTCATGTGGATAGTCCAATTTCCCCATCCCACGTTACAATGAGCAGAGGACCAAAGAAGGTCTCAGAGCTCCGTGATGGAGCCAGGCCAGCATCTACTTATCCTCACCCCCACTGTGTCCTGCTGCCTCTCCCATCAGACCTACCAGCACCAACCTGGGGTTGATACGTGTCCTCTCAAGCAAAGAGGGTGGGAGAATTGGACCAATGCTCTTGCCTGCAGGGTGGAGGATGAGGCAGCTTCCCTCTGCTTTTCAGATGAAGACTTCCGGGGAAGGCGTCAGGAGGCACCCAAGGTGGAGGAAGCCCTAAGAGAAGGACAGTAAGAGGTGAGACTTGGCACCATGCTGCCCACAGACTGTCCCAGTCAACACCCAGGTGTCTTTCTAGGGGCTCAGGCAGCAGGGCAGTGCTGGTCCTGGGTTTCTTCCTTCAAAGTTGTGGTAGCAGGGGACACAGGCTTCTACAAGGGAATCAGCCTTTGCATTTATATATATATATAATCTATTCCTTTGTCAAAAGATAATCACATACCTGCTTATGCCAGCTGCATCTTGGGGCAGTGTTGTTGACCTTGAGTAGTTTACAGCCCAGTTGAGAAGGCAGTCTGACACACACAGCATAGTGAGAGGAGGAGAACTGAGATGGCCTTAACTCGGTTGTGCACACACTGAGCTCTCTCCAGTTCCCTGTGTGGGTTGGATGGTCTGGAACTGGCCACAGATGAGGACATTGCCCCTCCGCCAGGGGCTATTTCTGGCTGGAGCCCCCTGCCCCAGGCAGCTGCCTTTTCTCCTCTCCCTGTGCATCCTTCTGGGAGAGAAATAGAGAATGCCAGTGCGTCCCCCAGGACTCAGTTTACCTGTCCCTCTTCTAGTGTCCTCTAATAAGGAAGCTTCCTGTCTGCCCTTCCCCACCGCTGTCCCAGGAGTGAGTGTCCATGAGGCTTTCTGGAACTGATGGTGTAGCAGAGGTAGCCCTGTTTCAGACTATGGAGAAATGCTTGCTGCCCTCAGATTTGCAGTGGAGGTGAGATAAGCCAGGGCACAGAGGACATGGCCTGGATCAAGTACATACAAGCAGCTCTGCTTGGGCCACAAGGCCTTCATGTCACCTCTAGTTGACTCCCTCATCATAGCCTTCACCGGGTGCTTCCAGACCTCTTACGTTCTCCTCAAGCTTCCTCACTCACAGAGCTACACCCGCACTTCCCACTTCTCCAGAATGCCATAGGAAGTGCCTCCGCTCCGTGTTGCTGCTGTCTTCAGCCCCTTCTCTTTCCCGGTGGTCCCCAGGGAAAAGGTGCCCTGTCCACAGCCTTGCTTGTCATTTCTTTATTTCCTGAGTCTTTCCGCTGCTCCCTTTTCCAGCTCCCTTCTCAAGTCTACATCCTCCTCTTTGTCATCTTAAAAACTAGGTTCTAGATTCCAGGTCCTCAGTGTTTGCCTTAATCACCCAACTTAACAAAAATTGGCATCCTCCCTTGCCCACTGTGGGCTAGCGGTGTTCCACCACCCCTGGGTTGATGTAGGAAGGTCATGTGCCAGGCCCAGGACCTTCTCCTGCCTTGCATCCTTCTGGCCATGCCCATCATCGCTCCTGAAACTGCCCTCCCTCAGCTCCTGTGACCCAGGAATCCTGGGTCTCATCCTTCTTTTCTGCTGTTTATTCTCTGCGTGCCTTCTCCTACCTCATAAATACCAGCTCTCCCCATTGCTCTGTCCCAACCCCTTTCAAGTCTTCTCATTCCCCAGTCTCTCTGGGCACTACCACCTTCTTCACAGCACCAGCAGTACTTCTGTGCAGTTGTCTCCAAAATCTGCATCTCCATCTCAGTGACCCTAAATGTGTTCCCTATCCCCAGCTGCACTCCATGATTGCCTTTCCAGTCCTAGAAGTTAACATGATGAAACCAGTCTCTCCTGACTTTGCCTTTTTGTATCTCCTTATTCCTTCTGTCACCATTCTGGTACACATTCATCACCTAGTGAAGAGCTGCTAGTCTCTTCATTGACTCCCTTTGTTCATCTCACCACCAAACCACCACTTTAGTCCCATTTCTGTCCTGCTCTGAGTAGTCTCTTCTGAGTCCCTCAGTATGCTGTCTGGTGCCATCCTTCCTCTGCCCCTACAGGTCCTCTCGGTGGAGCTCAGCTGAGCTCCTACGGTGTCACAGAATGGTCCAGGCACCTCCCCACCTCTAAGCCCTAGTCATATAGCTGCTTCCACCTGGAAGTCCATTCCTTTACCCCATCTGTAACTACCAGGGCCCTGGCCATTCTGCAAATTGGAACTATCCCAGGAACTTGGATGGGTGGGATGACCCCAGGAAGAATCCCAAGGCTAACAAAGTCTCTGGAGAAAGCAGAGGGCTCCTGTCTTTGTTAGCTTTTGCCCATCTCTCCAGGAGCCAATGACCAGGGAAGACCACTGGACTCCTTTTGAAAGATTTCCTCTATCCTTTTCCTCCTCAGATTCCAGCAGCTCCTCCTTGTTGGAGATGATCTGACCCGGTGGTGGACAGCCAGCGAGCAAAGCAAGCCTCCAGCTGAAGGGGCCAGCTCCAGCCGGGCAGACGGTGCTTGAGTCTTGACGCCCTGTGATTCTCCCACCACAGTCCAGCCCATCACTGCCACAACCAAGTTCCATGGGGCGTAGACTTTCGGAGCTGTCTTGCTGTGATTGGAGGAAGGACCTGGGGGGGGGGTCCCCTAGAGACATCAGCCAATCACAGTCTCTTTTGTAACAAGGCTGTTCTATGGGTAGTGAATGGAAATACAGGAACTATCCCCTCCCCCTTCTTTATTGAAACAAACAAACAGAAAACAGGCAAAAGTTGGAGTGTGGGAGAGGGCAGGGTGACCCTACAAGAGGCTCTTTGATCTGAAGGTGAAACCCATGCTTGCCTCCATTCCCATCTCCCCAGCAGGGTCGCAGGTACCATCTGACACCCTCTCCACAGTCCCAACACTTTTATGGGCAAGCTGGGGCCTTCCTTTACGCGGCCTTCTGCATTGCAGCCTTTCCCCGGGGCTGTAGTCCCGGAGTCTGCACTGAGCGCTGGGAGCTGGAGCCCTGCGCGGTCACTCAAACGCTAAGAGTGATAGAGCCCCCACAAAGATGACTGACTGGTCTGTGTCATCAAGGCTACCACTGTTAGGGGCTGGCACGGCCCGAGTAGCCTCCCCTTCATCCAGCAGGGATGGGACGGGTGGCCACTCTGGGGCTGGGGGACCCTGGCTAGGAAAGGTAGTCTAGCTTGTTAAAAGACAAAAGCCAATTCTGAACGGGACCCTGGAGTCACACAACAGGTTCCGACACCCAGCTGGCCCAGAAGACCTGCCGTCTTTTAGGGGTGGGCAGCGTTGGGCTCTGGAGCGACCCACTTGGAGTGAGAGTGCAGATGTGCAGACAAAGCCAAGCGGCTGCCAGCCTGGGTTGGGGGGGTCTGAGGCAGGGAGGCTTGCTGGGTGCCTCTTGAGAAGAGCAAGAATGTGATCCAAGGAGGGAAACGCCCCTTTTGTGAGCGCTTTACCCGACACCTACCACTGCCAACGGAAGGGAGGATGCTCAGGTTCTCTGGCCCCTCCCTGCCACCTCGAAATGGGGACGCGCTGACCTCACAGAGCTGAGCAGGCAAGAGGCTTCAGGGTCTGGAAGCGTGGGATCAGCCCAGCCTGATCCAGCTCGCCAGTCCGAGGTTGTGAATAGAAACCAGTCTTTGGCGGGTCACTGGTGGCCACAAGTCACCCCGAGATCATGAGGGTGTGGCAGGCGGCCCGGGGCGTCCCTCCCGCCTCGGTTCCCAGTGGAGGCCCTGGCTCCGTTCCAGGCCACCGGCTTCCCCCGCTGGGGCACCGCGGCGGACGCGGGCGGGGCCGGAACACGCCGCCACGGAGCGTGACCAAGTTTGGAAGCGCGCTGGCCTGCGCGCTTGCGCGGGCAGAGCTCTGCGAGGAGAGACCGCCCCTCCGCGTTTTTCTGCGGCGCGTCTCTGACCCTGGAGCGAGGGGAGGCTCCCAGGAGCCCTCTGGGCCGCCAGCCCGGGCTCTAGACAGGCTCTGACTCCAAAGGACAGAGGAGGGGCTCTGAGCTGTGATGCATGGCGGGGAAGCCCCAGTCCCGCGTCTGTGTGTGTTGCTTTGTTCGTTTTGTGTTCTCCTATGTGTGGGTTTTTTCTTGGAGCTGTTTCATAGGAATTTCTGTAATAAAGACTTGGTGTTCTCTTGGTGCTCTGATGTGGCCGGCATGTGGGTTGGATCCCCCTGAGCGCCCTGACCCGCCGCCCTAACGTTTGGCCCTTGGAGCGGTGAACCACCCACCTCACCTGCCCCCTGCAGGTGAGGCCCAAAGGCCCAAAGGCCCCGGCGTTCTTTCATTACTCAGGAGGTGACACCTGTTGTCTGCACCACAACCTTGCTAACCCGCTGGCTTGGGCCGGAGCTGTCGCTTTCTTATTTGCTCCGGGAAAGTAAACCGCTTGCTGATAGGCAAAGGAAATGACACCGGGAAAGCCTGCCTGTTGCTAAAGCCTGCAGATGGTTTACCTCCTGCAAGCTTCTGGGTTAACGGTGTGACCCGACGCCTGCCGGGCTGCGCAACCCTAGACTTCAAAGGGACCGCAAGAGCCTTAATATCAGAAACCCCTGCCTTCCCTTGACTCCCCAGCACAGCAGGTCTGCCTCCCACGCTGGGGCGCTCACTGGCAGGATGCCGTTTCCAGACAGGCCGGTTCTCAAGGTCCAAACGTTTTTTCTGTGTTGAGCCCAAAGGCTTCCTTGTGCTTCCACGCACCTCATCTTGTTGAGTGTGAGAAAGATGGCATTCTCCAGCCTTGGGAACCTCAGGGGAGCAGTTCTACTTTCTCCTATAGGGTTACTATGAATCAGAATCCACTCAATAGCAGTGGTTTTTGGGGCATCTTGTTATTGGGGTCAGGTCACCCAGGCCAATATTCTCCTCACATCTTTGATGTCATATTTGAGCTCTGTCTCCTCCCAGACAAACGACTCCAGTTCCTCTGGCTTTCCCTCCAAAAGGGATCTCCACCCATCAGGGTTTGGCTCCACCTCCAAAGACACCCAGGTAGCCTTGTGAACTGACATACCAGGGCCAGACTGTGATACTCCACATGTGCTGCTATCTGGAGTTGAGCAAGATTATCCCACAACCCTGGTTCTGAGCATTATTTACTGATGACACAGTGCCTAAGGCATTTGACTGCTAATCAGAAGGTTGGTCGATCAAACCCACAAGCAGCTCTGAGGAAGGAGGATGGGGCAATCTACTTCCATAAAGACTTACCACCTTGGAAACCCAATGGGGGTCGCTATAAGTTGGAATCGACTGGATGGGAATGGGTTTGGTTTTGCTTCTCTTAAAGACTAGTGTAGCACATCGGTTAAGCACTCTGCTGCCTACCTGAAAGGTTGGTAGTTTGAACTCACCCGGCAGCTGTGTGGGAGAGAGACCTGTCAATCTGCTTCTGTAAAAATCACAGCTAAGAAAACTATGGGGCAATTTTACTCCGTCACATGGAGTCCCTATGAGTCGAATCAACTCCACAGTGCCCAACAACAATGCAGCAGTGTAATCCCGGGAGCCCAGCACCAGCACACCTGGGAACCTGTTTGAAATGCAGATTAACAGCTCCATCTCTGACTTACTGAGTTAGAAACCCTAGGGATAGAGTCCAACCAATAGGACAGAACAGAACTGCTCTACAGGGTTTTCAAGGCTGTAAATCTTCGCAGAAGCAGATTGCCTCATTTGTCCCCTCTCAGGGCAGCTGATGGATTGGAACTGCCAACCTTTTGTTTAAGCAACCCAACGCTTTAACCACAGCGCCATCAGAGCTCCTTGATGAAGATGATCCAAAACTAAAACCAAACTCACTGCCGTCAAGTCAGTCCTGACTCATAGCAATCCCTCCTTGGGTTTCCGAGGCAGTATCTCTACGGAAGTAGATTGCCCAACCTTCCTTCCTCTGACTGGCTGGTGGGTTTGAACCGCTAGCCTTCTGGTTAGCAGTCAAATGCCTTAGGCACTCCACCACCAGAGCTCCCAATGAGGATGACAGCAACTGTTTATTGAGGACTCACCAGTGCTGTGTTGTGAGGGGCCATCAAGTTGGCCCAGATGCGTGGTGACCCCATGCACAACGGAATGATGGTGTTACCTCGTCTTGCGCCGTCTCCATGATTGACTGTGGATCAATGTTCCATTGTGATCCATAGGGTTTTCACTGGCTGATTTTGGGAAGAAAATCACCAGGCCCTTCTTCCTAGTCTGTTTTAGTCTAGACGTTCCCCTGAAACCTGTCCAACATCAGCAACATTATTTTACATAATCCTCACAATTAAAATAAAGCAGTATTAATTGCTTCCACTTTACAGATCTGGAAACTGAGGCACAGAGGTGTTAAAGTCCTTATTCAACATCAGTAAGTAGTACTACAACTGGATTTGAACTCGGGCAGCTGAGGTCCAGAGGCAAGGTCTAACCAGATGATAGGACCTAGAACCCTTGATTAGGTGCAATCTGTGGTGCACAGAAAGGTCCAACTGCTCAAAAACAGTGACCCCTGGCCCAACACTATCCCTGCAACTCCCCATTAGCATTCTTTATCTGGATTTAAAAACAATCTCTTAGCATTTCCACTAAAAGGCAAATATGTTGCCCAGAGAGAAGCACATGAACTCGTTTTGCCCATTATCGCAGCACAGACTCATTTGTTAGATTAGCTGGCAGGGCCAGCTGGAGGAAGAGTTGGAAATTTCTGGGGATGAGGTCTGAAGGGGGCTGTGTGAATCTACTGCCACCTGGTGGCTTTCTTGAAGAAGTGGCAGTCGCTGGCTGCTGAGAGGCCAAACACGTTTTTGCCAGAAGGAGGCTGTGAGCACCAGGTGACCCTATGTCAAAAGACAGGCACATGATCAAATATTTTGTATAATTTGAAAAACAAAGATATATTGGTATCATTTTTTTCTTAAAAGGTCCACTAAGTTCATGTAAACTTCAGGCCCCATGAAACCAGCATCTACTCTCCCCGCAGAACAGAAGTCTGGAGTTGGATTTCATTTCCCAAAAGTAAAGAGTCACAATTCTTCATCAGGCCAAGGGGATTACTCTAGAAACTCTGGGGTGAGGAGTTGTGAGTTCAGTACAAACTCAGCATTCCTTGCTCTGACCTTGTTATTCAAAGTGTGGTCTGTGGGTTGGGTGACCGCCCTGCTTTATCATGGACTGAATGGTTTCCCAGGCTATGGATGTTTCAATGGTAAAACCAGGAGAGTCCAGGCATAGTTGGATGAGATGATTGCCGTCCGTATAGACTGGTAAAATGGCATCACCTGGAAGCTTGCTGGGAGCTCTGGTGGCGTAGCGCTTAAGGCATTTGACAGCTAACCAGAAGGCTGGCAGTTCAAACCCCCCAGCCACTCTTCAGAAGGAAGACTGGGCAATCTACTTCCGCAGAGATACCGCCTCAGAAACCCAAGGAGGGGTCACTATGAGTCGGAAGCAACTCGATGGCAGTAAGTTTGGTTCTTTTCCCCCCTCCCTTTTGGAAGCTTGCTAGAAATGCGGAGTTTCAGGCCCCACCCAGGCGTGCTGAGTCAGAAGCCCCAGGAGGTTCACGAGCACATTAAAGATTGAGTTGCTTTGACTTCCAAAGGAACAGAAGGGTCTACATTCCTCTGAAACGTCTGCTTTCAAGACACCTCATCCTCTGAGCGGCAGAAACCCACAGAATGCTCCAATAATAATAATAATAAAAGAATCTGTGCTCCAGGCCT